CCACGATACATCACTTCTAGCCACTGCCCTTAATTCGATGGAGTGGCATCTCGTCAAGTGATGCCTCTCCATGAGCATATGTTTCCATGGAGAACTCCAGCGACCGTCTTCAAGGAAGTTGAATCAATTGTCTCTACTTTGAGATCTGCCGCCTTCCTGCAGTGTTTCCGATCGATTCATATCAATACACACACATATACAATTATTTTTTCCAACAAGGAGGATTGCAGAACAAAATGAGGATTCTTACACCGGGAAAGCCGGTGTCTTAGCGAGGTTTCGAAACCTACTTCAAGCTAATGCTAAAAGCCACGCTACTTGATTGCAATTCGGCATCATTCATTTACTTTGTAAATGAAACAGAGGATAGGAGAGATGAGAACTGATTAAAATATTCTTATTTATACACAAACGCACATACACGTATGTGTATGCATGTATATGTATATGCATATTTATCAATATTCATATACTCATATATCTACATATATATTTATACACAGTCGTCCAGCGACGCTGCGTCCGGCCCTGTAATCTTCGGGGGAATATCAGTCAGATACTGAAGGCTCCGACTGGTCAAACAAGAGGGTCTGCTGATACATATACATTTGTGTGTACGTCATTTCCTCTTTCGTTCTTTATCCTTAATGTTCTCTCTCTCCTTTCTGTTGTGACGGGGAAATGCCGAAAATCCTTGTTATGCAAAATGACATGTTTTGCATATGCGTGCAGGTATCTTCCGTAAACTACATTCATAATGAGCATACTCTTTCTTACCAATTTGAAGGCATGTGTGCAAAAGGCGATGTGTGATCATTGTTGCATTTATGATCCTGATCCTGTTAATATAAAATAACAGAAATATGAATTATTAGGATGGAAAGAATGCTGCAACAGTACAATAATGTCATATTCTCTTCAGTTGAATGGCCTTCATTAACACATTCATATATTCATTCATTTTTAAGAACGCATCTTTGATTTTACGGTTAAGTATAAGAAATGATAATCTATTACCAGACTAAGGATTCGTGCATCATCGGCAAACAATACAAAGGGTGAAATCTACATGGTCTGTGTTTCGGTTTAAAATATATATATTGTCTTTAATTTTACGTCCAGGCCCTGCCTAGGTCCTCTATCGCTAAAAGAACAAATAGGTCTTTAAACATACACGCAAACACATATTTGCGTGTGTGTAAATTGATGTTGGCAGCGACAGTAATCAACTTATAGCAATAGCATTGCCATCTTAACAGTGTTCATGTCCTGAAATATCAAACACTACCTTCTGATATCCTGATATTCTGCGGTAAATGTGGACTCATTAGTAAATATGTACAATGAGTGCCAGATCTTGTACCGTTTTTTAAACTTCTTGGATACTTATGTAGATATATACATATTTCTATTATTAATAATCATTACACATCACATATTTCGAAGAATATACCAAGCCAGATACAGAGAAGATTATCGCGACAATAGTGTGGTTATGTGCAAACAGTTCATTAGAAATTAAAGAAATGGTCCATTGTGCAATTAGATTATACTGCCAAAACCATTCTGTGATTTTAATGGGAATGCGGATACTGTGGAAATTCCCGCGGTTCTATTGCCTTACTAGCAGTCATTGCACAGGCGAATGAAAAAACTAACCAATATATTATATAACCTATCACAGATTATAGATGCAGAAAAAATATGACTAAGAATACATAAAGACAATACAAGAGATGCATTTGACCGTTTCGGTTATATCTTCGCCAGAAATACATTATATCTTTATTTTTCTGTCGAGAATATGATCAAATACATCTCTTGTATTCTTAAGATATTCATTCTCATTCAAAACCTTTCTACTTTTGAACACTCAATTGGAAACACGTTCACCTAAGACTATCGTTCGTTTAGTTGCAAAATTAAAAACATCGTAATATAGAGGCTGGCTGAGAAATGATTTTTTCAATTATGGTACTGTTCTTCATATTCTGTCAAACCGGGACCACACCTGCTCACCTTCTCCTCTTGCTCACCCTCTCCTCGCCACGTGACCGTGACTTTGACCAGTTTCCCAAGTGAACTCCTCGGGAGGGAGACCTGGATGGCAACACCATGGAGGACCAGATACTATGTTCCTTCTCTTGAGGTATAAATCGCGCTGAACTGAACTGAGGTGGCATCACACTTGAATTCAACAACAGACATGGCGGACCACACGAACTGTCGTGGCAACACCAACAGGAGTCGCCAGGGACCAGCTTCGCCGAAGACCACTTCGCTTTTCATCGAGACCAGAATCGAGCAGGCCATGGAGCTCGTCAAGTCCCATCTGGTGCACGCGGTCAGGGAAGAAATGGACTGCATGAGAGACACCATCGTGCAGCTGAAAATGCGAGTCTCTCAGCTGGAACAAGAGAACGCTGCCTTACGAAGCAGTGTAAACAACAGCAAGCCTCGACGGTACAGCGCAATCAGCTGATGTACCTGATGCTGTCTACTTGTACATATCTCTTTCCTCGTTGCCAGATGTCTCTCCATTTGAATATGCTTGGCTTCTTTCGTCGGCATGTGTACTGGTAATCCACATCAATCATCCACAAGGCAACTAAAACATCATCTCTTCAACATAAGAGTTCTACCAACTTTGCACAGCGCTCCTTATTAATAAACGTTATATATTTTAATGTTATGTTTTTGTGCAGCTAAAAATGCGTCTCTTAACTGGAACAAGAAAATGCTGCCTTGCGGATGTGAAAATAACAGCCAGTCACCACGATACATCACTTCTAGCCAGTGTCCCTAATTCGATGGAGAGGCATCTCGTCAACTGATGCCTCTCCATGAGCATATGTCTCCCATGGAGAACTCCAGCGACCGTCTTCAAGGAAGTTGAATCAATTGTCTCTACTTTGAGATCTGCCGCCTTCCTGCAGTGTTTCCGATCGATTCATATCAATACACACACATATACAATTATTTTTCCAACAAGGAGGATTGCCAGAACAAAATGAGGATTCTTACACCGGGAAAGCCGAAGTGTCTTAGCGAGGTTTCGAAACCAGCTACTTCAAGCTAAAGCTAAAAGCCACGCTACTAGATTGCAATTCGGCACAATTCATTTACACTATAAATGAAACAGAGGATGGGAGAGATGAGAACTGATTAAAATATTCTTGTTTATACACACAAACGCACATACACGTATGCATGTATAAGCATATTTATCAATATTCATATACTGAAATATACATATATATATACACAAAATCGCCCAACGACGCTACGTAATCTTAGGAGGAATATCAGTCAGATACTGAAGGCTCCGACTGGTCAAACAAGAGGGTCTGCTGATATATATACATTTGTGTGTACGGCATTTCCTCTTTCGTTCTTTATCCTTAACGTTCTCTCTCTCCCTTTCTGTTGTGACGGGGAAATGCCGAAAATCCTTGTTATGCAAAATGACATGTTTTGCATATGCGTGCAGGTATCTTCCGTAAACTACATTTATAATGAGCATACTCTTTCTTACCAATTTGAAGGCATGTGTGCAAAAGGCGATGTTTGTGATCATTGTTGCATTTATGATCTTGATCCCTGTTAATATTCAGAAATAACAGAAATATGAATGATTAGGATGTAAAGAATGCAGCAACAGTACAATAATGTCATATATTCTCTTCAGTCGAATGGCCCTCATTTACACCTATTCATATATTCATTCATTTTTAAGAACGCATTTTTGACTTTACTGTTAAATGTAAGAAATTATAATCTATTACCAGACTAAGGATTCGTGCATCATCGGCAGACAATACAAAGGGTTAATTCTACATGAAGTCTGTGTTTCGGTTTAAAATATATATATCGTCTTTAATTTTACGTCCAGGCCCGGCCTAGGTCCTCTATCGCTAAAAGAACAAATAGGTCTTTAAACATACACGCAAACACATATTTGCGTGTGTAAATTGATGGCAGAGACAGTAATCAACTTATAGCAATAACATTGCCATCTCAACAGTGTTCATGTCCTGAAATATCAATCACTACCTTCTGATATCCTGATATTCTGCGGTAAATGTGGACTCATCAGTAAATATTTACATTGAGTGATAGATCTTGTACCGTTTTTTAAACTTCTTGGATACTTATGTAGATATATACATATTTTATATTAATAATAATTATTACACATCACATATTTCGAAGAATATACCAAGCCAGATACAGAGAAGATTATCGCGACAATAGTGTGGTTATGTGCAAACTGTTCATTAGAAATTAAAGAAATGGTCCATTGTGCAATTAGATTATACTGCCAAACCACCTCTGTGATTTTAATGGGAATGGCTGGATACTGTGGCAATTCCCGCGCTTCTATTGCCTTACTAGAAATCATTGCACAAGCGAATGAAAAACCTAACCAATATATTATATAACCTATCACAGATTATAAATGCAGAAAAAATATGACTAAGAATACATAAAGACAATACAAGAGATGCATTTGACCGTTTCGATTATATCTTCACCAGAAATACATTATATCTGAATTTTTCTGCTGAGAGTATGATCAAATACACATCTTGTATTCTGAAGATATTCATTCTCATCCATAACCTTTCTACTCTAGAACAATGAATAGGAAACACGTTCACTTAAGACCATCGCTCGTTTAGTTGACATCGTAATATAGAGGCTGGCTGAGAAATGCATTTTTTCAACTATGGTACTAATTGATAATACCTCAGTATTGATGAGTTTGGAAATAAAGCACAAACAAGAAAACGCTTTTTGTTGTGCTTCACACTCTGTCAAACCAGGACCACACCTGCTCACCCTCTCCTCGCCACGTGACCGTGACTTTGACCAGTTTCCCAAGTGAACTCCTCGGGAGGGAGACCTGGATGGCAACACCATGGAGGACCAGATACTATGTTCCTTCTCTTGAGGTATAAATCGCGCTGAACTGAACTGAGGTGGCATCACACTTGAATTCAACAACAGACATGGCGGACCACACGAACTGTCGCGGCAACACCAACAGGAGTCGCCAGGGACCAGCTTCGCCGAAGACCACTTCGCTTTTCATCGAGACCAGAATCGAGCAGGCCATGGAGCTCGTCAAGTCCCATCTGGTGCACGCGGTCAGGGAAGAAATGGACTGCATGAGAGACACCATCGTGCAGCTGAAAATGCGAGTCTCTCAGCTGGAACAAGAGAACGCTGCCTTACGAAGCAGTGTAAACAACAGAAAGCCTCGACGGTACAGCACAATCAGCCGCTGTACTTGAATTCGTTTACCTATTGTGTTTTGTTCTTTCATGATTAACAGGTGTCTCTCCATGTGAATATGTTTGGCTTCTTCCGTTGGCAAGTGTCTTGATAATCTCCAGTTATTACTTTCAAGAAATTAGATAACTAAACGTAGAGATCGTTCGT